GCTCTGTCCTCTGTGATTGCAAACTCGGTGCCAGAGACAGTTTTCCAGCATACTCTTCAGGGATGCTTCTTGTGCCTTCAGAGGACTGTCCTTTGTTCTGTTTAGTCAGATTCCACCTTTACAAATGAGCAGAAAAGGTGTGTGTGGAGCTGAGAGGAGAATCTGGTGACTTGTGGGGCTCTGCGCCCCTGTTAGCGGGCTTGCCTGATGAGTGTTCCCTTCTACGGGAAACCCCAGGCTTTGACAACAAGTTTATAAAACCTCTGAAAATCAGTAAAAACCCCAGAAGCATTTTGAAACCAAAGTAAGATCCGAATTGAATTCTAAAGGGATACTCCTGATCAAGATTTGTGTACGAAACCATCATTTTCATTAATAAATATTTGGGCAAATTGGATGCCAGGTGACGGGCTCTGAGCCAAGTCAGGACACCTGGCTTCCATGTCCACCTCTTGATGCCTAGCTATTGAAACATCACTCCGTATTGCAAGGTGCCCTTCACATGGAAAACAGGGAGAGGGAAGTTGGTGTTCTTAACATCCCTTCCAATGAAAAATGCTTTGTGTCAGTGAGGATAATCATATTAAAAAGTAACTGCACTTAAGTATTATTTGTCTTTTAAGTTTGCTCAAAAAGTACAAGGTTTTAATTATTTTTTCATTATTTGAATACAGAGAGATTTTTTGAGTGGAAAGCGATCTGACCTCTTACAGATTGCGTGACCCTGCAGTCCACCTCACTGTTCACCCCTTGCCAGCAGCGGGCCTTGCTCACACAGCCTCACCCAGCAGAGCAAACACCATTAGAAATGGGGTCTGCAAAACAGCTTTGGCAAAGGGGCACCAGCTCCCATATATGTGCACCCTTTGTCTTCATGGAGTCAACATTATATTTAGTGTTGTTGGTTTCTTTAAAAGGGACCCTACCGTACATCTTCATGTCTCCTCTTGTATACGGATTAGGCATTCATTTAAAAAATAAATAACTTTTTTTTTCCTGTTTTATGTAGTCATATCCACGGTACTAGTTTGTCTTGAGATTTTTTTTGCATTCACTTGTCTATCATACATTTTTCCACTGGTCATCATTTTATTTCATAAAGATAGTCTAATGAAATTAATTTGAGGTTTTACCAGTTTGGCCTGTTTCAATTAAAGAGACTACATAAAGTTAAAGTTTTCAAATTTTGATTCTGCTTGACTTTCCCAGTACACTTTTCAGTGTAAACTGAACAATTAGACTAAAATAATGCTGTATAAATTTTTCTCTTTGCAGAGTGTTCGACCTACACCACAAAATGATGCTATAACAGTACACTTTAAACCAATTACCTTAAAAGCTTCAGAAAGTAAATACACCAAGGTCGCAAGTATTAGTTTTGATGGTAAGTATTCAACTTTTTTCTCTCTAATAGAATGGTCTTATTTTGATAAATTAGAAGGCATCTACATTGACATCTTAATACAGAAACACAGATCATTTTACAGTCAGA